GAAGCTTTCGCACGTCGCGGACATCGCCGTTTTGTTGAAGGCTCCTAAAAAGACAGCGATATAGAGGAGCTGAGTGCTAACGCGTGACATATTCAGGTACCGAGTAGCATAGCGCGCAATCCAGCCACGGAAACCTAAGATGAACTTGTCGACAACGTAACATCATTGCATCATTTCTCTTGCCCGCTGAGCGGTTGGCCTCTCGAATCGGATTGGATGCACGCCACTTTCTGCCACTTTGTCTCGTGTCTCAGACCAGCGTCCCAGTCCGTGTCGCACAAAGTTCGAGTGTCACTGGATCTGAGTCTGTTCCGACCTTGAGCCGCCGCTTAAGGACCCGCCCGCCAGCTGATCATGTTCGGCCGCGAGTTGGAGCATGACTCCACAGACTCGCCAAACAAGCGTTCCAGTCAGTCTTGTTTGTTAGGGCATGAGCGAGCACTGGCTGGTCGTTTGCTGTCCTACACTAGTCTGGTTGTGACGAACGATTTAAGGATTACCATTACCCGGCCACTAGTAACTCTTGCTGCAGAATCCCTCCACGTGGGTTTGAATGAGCCCGGTGAGCTTGTGAGCATTGTGTGTCTGGTAAGGCAAGACGTGCTGAACCACGTTTAGAAAATAATGGGCGAAATGCGCGCGGAGGAAAAGGCAGCTCACTCATGCCAGCCCTGAAACAGATGGCTGCTGTAATAATTTACTTGTCGGCGAGGGAGGTGGTTCCTATCGTTTCCGAGCGTCGCGTGCAGGTGATGACTGACGATCACAGAGAAAGGCACAGATCACATTGCAGTTGGTACGTCCTTGATACCCAATAAATAGCAACAAATTGCAGAGAAAGTTACATGAAATACACGGGGGCATAAGACTTAGAGAGTTTGAGTTAAAGACGTAGAGAGGTGCGAAAAGAAGATGCAAAATCCCCGAGTGCAAACGGAGGGGCCACAGTGCATTTGATTCCATGGCAGCATGTTTTGAGCGACTTTTGTGACGTTGCCTTGTGCAAATGCGCAGCGATCTCGTACTGCCGCGGTTGCCAAGAGCCAAGTTTTGGCTATTATGTGAAGTTTTGACAGATGAATATGGGCATCGTAAGATTAAGCGCTATACTCCGCGTGCCAATGTGGCTTCCCACAACAAAGGCGTGAAAAGCATTTGTAGCTCAGACGGCCGAAACAACAGAACATAATAATCATCCAAAAACAATGCTGGGAAAATGCGATGCGGAGCCTTGTGTAGCGACGCGGCCTGAGATGTCACTGCTCGCAAATACAGCAGCACATTGCGACAACTCTCATGCTGTCTTACGGTTGGCTACGATGCATGTCCGCTCATCTCAGACCGTAGAGAAACCTTGTCCTTGCCTCATGCTTTATTATTGAGCTGAAGCTGAGATTTTTACCAAATACACACCGCAATGACGTGAGTCGTTCTCTGCCATCGCCAACCGATACCTTTTATTTCCTGCAGACTCTGTCAGCAACGAACTGATGCAGCTGGAGGCGAAACGGAACAAGCTGCACCAGTCGATCGAGACATACAGCAGCCGGATAGACGAACTGAAGCAAAACCTGGCGCGTCTACAGCTCGAGTACGAGCGGCTCAAGTACAGTGTCGAGCAGGTACAGAAGTGACCGCAAGTCCAACCGGCAGCTGGCTTCATCTGCCGGCCCCAGTTCGGGCCTCTGGCGGTCGTCGACACGGGCCTTTGCGACGCGGAGACTGTGGTTTCCACGGCCGGTCATACCGTTCAGTCGGTTGGCTTCACCGTGGTCAGCTTGGATGTGGTCGATCCAGTTTCGGTGTATCGTTAGGATACCTTCCCTCAGCGTCGTGTTGGTACGACTTCCTTGCCTGCCAATTCCACGCCCGATGTGCAAGAGGAGAAGTTCAACAACAACTGGGGATGGCAGGTCTGGCTAAACAAGGCCGTCTCTATGCAACGTTTCTATATGGGGCGACGTAACGTGAGTTCAAGTTAACACACGCACCTTTTACTGCCAAGGTCAACGCGAAGCCATTTCTGGATTTACACCCATGATCCGTCATAGCTTTACCGGGACTTTCTTGTCTCGCCAAGTACCAGGATGCTATTGATCGAATGTGATAGCTCCACTGACCTTGCTCTGTGCGACTCCTATACGTGACGTGACGAGACTCTAGCCACCTCAGGTCCTCACCATTACAACGGACACCTACCGGTCCTTTTGGTTGCTGGTGTCCTGTGTCGTCGGTTTTGCTGTTTTCCGTCTCCCAGTCAGGTGCTGTTCGGTTGCCAACGGCTGTGTCGCCCGTGATAGCGCGCGCTATTATTCGCTGTGATGCGTGAAGGGTTGCTTGCTGGCCGTGTCCTGACGTGCTGTTGGAGCAGGGGGCTAGCAGCAGCAGTCGTTGCTCTACAATCTTATCAGTTCCTGCGAGGGCGTCACGCTGGTAAGGTACCGCTGCGTGCTATTGCCTGCTTCAATTGGCATGTTGTCGTCTCGACTTGCCGCGGGACTGTGCCTGTATAACGCGCTGTAGTCCGCTGTGTCCCCGTCCCCGTCCCCGTATGCCTGATGGGGGGGGGGGGGGGGTGAGGGGGCCAGGGCACGCACCCTTGACGCCGTGCCGCTCGTCGGCAGGCGCGCGCGACGCAGCGCGAGGCGGCCGAGCGGGACACGCCGCTGCTGGCGATTGCCGCGGCACGCTGCAGCCGGAGCTGGGTCCCCGCGCGCCGCTGCCGCCGCCGGCGGCCCGCCGACGCCCGCCACTGCTCGCTGGCCGACTGCTGGGACTACTCGCGCTGTCCACTCACTGGCGGCTTCACCTTCTTCCTGTACCGGCTGGAGGCGTCGGGCGACGCAGACGCCAGCCGGCTGCACGAAGCGCTACGCAGCAACGCGCAGTGGCGGCCGGAGGCCGGCGCGCGTCTGTGCGTTCGTGCTGGTGCTGGGTGGTGCGACGACGCCGGCCGAGCTGCGCCGCCAACTGGCCGCCGCGCCGCACTGGGCCGGCGACGGCCGCAATCACCTGCTGGTGGCGGTCGGCGCGGCGGCGGCCGACGCGCTCGACGCCGTCGACACGGGCCGCGCCGTGCTGGTGGCGCTCGGACGCCGGCGGCGGAGCCGCGGCCCGGCTTCGACTTGGTGCTGCCGAGCGTGGACGGGCCCGCTGCGTGACGTGGCCTGGCAGACGGCGCCGCCGCTCGTGCCGGCCCGGCGCGCCCTGCTCGTCACGTTCGAGGGCGAGCTGGCCGACGGCGAGGACGCGATGCGCGCCGCGGCGCTCACCAACGCGCTTCGGCCGCTTGGCACACGCGCACACGCACGACGCTGTGCACCTGGTGTCCACGTGCCCGCCGGCAGCGCCGGCGGCCGCCTGGCGGCCGTGGCTGGCGGCTCTGCGGCTCGGCCGAGCAGCGGGCCGCACGCCTCAGCAATGCCACGTTTGCGTTGCTGCCGGCGCCGGCTGGCGGCGGCGCGCGCCGACTGACCGAAGCGCTGCGCGCCGGCGCCGTACCCGTGCTGCTGGGCGAGTGGGCCGCTGCCGCTGGACGGACCGCTTGACTGGCGGCGCGCCGTACTGCGCGTGGCCGAGCCGCGTCTGCCCGAGCTGCACTACCTGCTGCGCACGCTCACCGACGCCGACATCCTCAGCTACCGGCGCAACGGCAGGGAGGTGAGCACGTGTTCCGGGCAGGGCGGCAGCCGGCGTGGAGGCCGCCGAACGTCGGTGTTGAGGTGAAGTAGATACCGCTATGGGCCAGTGTCCGCGGAGATTCTCCTGTCATCGCCATCACCTTGGCATTATATATGGCAGCGCTCGATGAGTCAACCTGCGTTTCACGTGCCTTTAGTACTGTGGCGTGCCGCTAATCGCGCGCGGGTCCTGTCGCCATTCCGATGTACGCCTCTCTCCGCGGCCAGTTCCTGGGAGCATTACCTGAGCTCGGCCAAGGCGGTGGCGGACGCGGTGCTGACGCAGTTCGCTGAGAGGCTGGAGCTGCCGCCGCCGCCCGCCCTCGGCGTCAAGGCTGGAAGCGCCTTCAACGACACGTTCCAGGTACGGTACGGACGGACACGCGTACGGTTGTATAGTGGAACGTTGTGGAAGAACACGGGGTCTTCTGTCTTAATTTCATTTCGCGTAGATTTCCACGTGCTTTAGCCTCACCCGACCAGTTGATATTGCGCTAGGTATAATACCAACTAACGACTAGGGCTGCCTATCCGGCTAGGCATGATACACTGGTTTATTATTATAGATGCCCATTGAGGCAGACGTTAGTTGAATGTAAAAGCACTCGTGGTTGCCGCTGGCTCGTGAATGGGATAACAGCCACTCGTGATGAATTGTGGACGTGGATTTGAGCAGCGCGTCGTCGCAGCCGCCGGTGTGCGGCTGCCCGTCCGTGCGCCCCCTGATGGCGGCGTGGCTTGTCCATATGATTTCCGTCCCCCGCCGTCGCTTCATCTCACCACCGCGCTGGCGCCGACCTTCCCCGAGCCGGCGTCCCGTGACCCGGCCCGCCTCCCGGCCCGTTTCAGCGGTTTGACCGTGGACGTTCAGCTCAGCAGCCTGGACCTGGACGAGTACCTGGGGCCGATCGAGTCGCCGCTGGCCTCGGACCGCTTCCAGCGCAACTTCACCACACCGCGGCTGGACACGTACGCGCGCTGGGAACCTGTTCCTGGCCGCCGCACCGACTGTACCCGGCCGTGCCGTACGGTGGACGTGCTGCCGGCCGAGGCCAAATTTGTAGGTGAGCCCGGCAGCGGCGGCGCGCGGCCCGTCGGTGGGGCCAAGGAAGCCGACGAGTGCTGGGCACTGGTGACATCGGGGAGCTGTGTTTTGGACCATGTGACGTCAGGTTGGGTGGTGTGGTGCTGCTCTCATTGCTGCGCTGAGGGCCGTTGGGATGTAAATGTTGTGGATGCTCTCAACGTTCAGTCCTGGTTTCGGCTTCGTTGTTTACTTCGCTTTTCGTCGGGGACCACCGGGAACAAGCTTGCATGCGGGAAGTTTTTATTTTTAGCTACCGGCCATGAACAGGTCAGATGTGAGCCACAAATGTTTGGCCACAGTCAGGCGCCAGTATTTGGGAGCCGCTACACCATTTAACGACCTTCACCGGCCCACTTCGCCCTGAGCGCGTGCGTGCGCGGACGAGACGTGAACGGAGCCACACCACGCCACATCGGTGGCCGGCGCTAGGAGAGGTGCTAAACAGGGTGGGCGGCGGCGCGCCGACAGGGCCCGCGGCTCGGCTTCCGGCCGGTGGCGTCCGGCGAGGGTGGCCAGCGGCAAGGAGTTCAGCGAGGCGCTCGGAGGCAACTCGCCGCACGAGCAGTTCACCCGTTGTCATGCTCACCTACCGACGAGAGCAGGTCAGTGGCGGTCAGGGCCGCCAGCGAGATCACGTCCTGCTGCCGGGGTGGTGGGAGAGCGCAAGGTGCAGTCAGCCGATGAATTCGCGCTGCAAGAACGAATATCGAAGTGAATTTTGCCCGCTCTCTGCCTTGGTTTATGTTGTTGGTCAGGTTTTGCTCGAGGATGCAGTACTGTACTGATTTACCTCGATGCCACGCTATGTCACGTCTCCGAAACCTGTGACTACTTTCCTCCAGTCACATCATAGTCCGACAGCTGGGCTGATGCTGCACCGTCGCTGGGGTGTGCGCGCGCTGCACACTGAGTTATGGACGGGCCGACTGGCGTGTCTTGGCCGCCTGTGACGCCGGGCGTCGCCGCCGCGGCAGACGCCGGTGCCCGGCCGCGACAGGCCGCCTCCCTGCGGCCGCCCCGCGGCTCACTGCGCGCCGGCGCCGTCTGTCGGCAGGTGCTGATGAGCGCTCTGGGCCACCTGTACGGCCTGCCTTACCTCAACAAGGTGGTGGTGGTGTGGAACGCCCCCGAGTCGCCGTCCGACACGCTCCAGTGGCCCAGCGTCGGCGTGCCCGTGGAGGTGGGTTACCCCGCCGCGGAAGGGGGAAGAGGCGGCCTGCGACGGGTCCGGACCTGGCAACGCCCCGTGCCATTCCCGTGATTGTGGGATGTCGGCGAAATTTGACATGTCTGAGCACGTGTAGCGAATGAATAATGTGTGCTCGGGTACTCTGCATGGAGCGTGGTACACGCAGTCATGTATGCAAACATGTATGCAACATGCAATAAGCAATAAATACGCAATAATTTCATGCATCACTGTGGTCATATTTTCTGTGGCGTCTGATTCGAACGTCTTGAACAAGGCATTTAATCGAATGGGACCATCCACCATTTATTACCTTGTATCCGTGTGTTATCACCATTTTTCTGATAGTTACATGTTTTACGGCTGAGCACGTGTGTTTACATTTGCATTCCCATTTACTACTGATGTCGTGCCACCGACATTGTTTCCAACAGGTGGTCACGGTTGGCAAGAACAGCCTAAACAACCGGTTCCTCCCATTCGAAAACATCGAGACGGATGCCATTTTATCAATCGACGACGACGCACACCTGCGTCACGACGAGATTGTGTTCGGATTCCGGTGGGTGCGCGGCGGCCGCTGTCATGGACGTTACGGCGTCTTCACGCTGGGTGACTGGTCTCACTTTGCTATTAGGGTCTTTCATAAAAAACCTGTACAGTTCGACGTGCATGTGGCTTATAAATTCGTTCATCCGGTTTCACGAATTGCTGGAGTCGGGGCCCTTGCATTGTGGTGTGAACGCCCGGGAATTAGAATAAGTGCTATCCATGCATTGGAGAAGTGTGTGACGATAGAACCAAGAATATCTTAAACTGGGACGTTTTGGTGTTATTGGTGCAATGTAACGTCCAAGAAGCCTGTCATTAATGGGCCGGTGTGCCCGGGTCGGACGCCCGGTCCGCCCAGGTGTCGGGACTGTGTGCCGCCTGGCGGTGTACTGACGTGGTGGCACCCTGTGCAAGCACTGACCTGCGCCGACGGCCGCAGGGTGTGGCGCGAGCAGCGGGACCGACTGGTCGGCTTCCCGGGGCGCTACAACGCCTGGGACACCAAGCACGGCGGCTGGCACTACAACTCCAACTACTCGTGCGAGCTCTCCATGGTGCTGACAGGTAGGAGTGGGTGGCGTCCTGTGTCGTTTGAGTGGTGCGGCTTGCTTCGGTGGTGTTGGCTCGCCGGCTCGCTCTTGTCGAGCCCACTGCCTCGCTCGTGTCGAGGTCGCTGCCTCGCTCGTGTCGAGGTCGCAGCCTCGCTCGTGTCGAGTTCGCTGCCTCGCTCGCGTCGAGTTCACTGCCTCGCTCGTGTCGAGTTCGCTGCCTCGCTCGTGTCGAGGTCGCTGCCTCGCTCGTGTCGAGTTCGCTGCCTCGCTCGTGTCGAGCTCGCTGCCTCGCTCGTGTCAGGCTCGCTGCCTCGCCCGTGTCAGGCTCGCCGCCTCGCCCGTGTCAAGCTCGCCGCCTCGCCCGTGTCAGGCTCGCCGCCTCGCCCGTGTCGAGCTCGCTGCCTCGCTCACCAGCCTCTGACTGCCCCCGGGCGTCTCTGCCTCCGCCCGAGCTGGCTCGAGCCGGCGGTGGTGTGCCGTGTGTTGCATGCGGCGGGCGTTCTCAGTGCCGCCGGCCGGAGATCGTTCTCACGGCGCGCTGCCCGGCAGGTGCGGCGTTTTTCCACAAGTACTACGCGCACATGTACTCTGAGTGGATGCCCCCAAGTGATCCGGGACAAGGTGGACGAGTACATGAACTGCGAGGATATCGCCATGAACTTCCTCATCTCGCACTTGACCCGGCAGCCGCCCGTCAAGGTGCGACGCGGCCCAGCTCATCACGCGCCACCGGCCAGGCGCGCTCGCACCGTGACGGGCTGCGCTTGATATGTGTGTTGGGAGGGAGCTCCACAGGGACTCCAAGCTGCGGATGGAAGTGTGCACCACGGACCTAGTAGGATGAGTACACTCAGTAAGACTCTAACGTTGCGATGTCATCTCATCCACTAGAAACTCCCCGACTACTGAATTCCTGGTCCCATGACTAGGTATGTCCAGGCCGTTTTACTTTGCGTTCAGTTGTGGACAGTTTGTCACATACGACCTGTGACGAGTTTTCACTTCGACTGCATTTCCACTAAGAATGGGAGCAAGATATCCCTTCCTGTCTGTCATCCGTTCCGGACTAGCGGCCGTGAGCCGTCTGTTTGACCACACCAATGTGCCACCAGGGCCGCATGCGCTCGGTACCTCTGGCTGTGACCTCCCATCGCCCCGTGGCGAGGCTGTGCCCTGAGCTCGGGTACGTTGTTTCAGGTGACCTCCCGCTGGACGTTCCGCTGTCCCGGCTGTCCAATGACGCTCTCCGAGGACGAGGAGCACTTCACCGAGCGCCACAAGTGTATCAACTTCTTCTCGCGCGTGTACGGCCACATGCCGCTGCTGAACACGCAGTTCCGCGTCGACTCGGTGCTCTTCAAGACGAGACTGCCGCCGGACAAGCAGAAGTGCTTCCGGTTCATCTAGCGACCCCGGTCGCGGTGTGCGGCCGGCAGTGGCCGTGCTCGGCGCGCGCCGCGGCGGCACTGATCGGCGCCGTCCGTCAGCCCGCGGCGCGTGGCGTTCGTCCGGCGCCGGCGCCGGTCCCGGCCCGCTGCTGGGCGGCGGCTCCGCGGGGCCCAGACGGATGGCGGGTAGCCGCATTACGCGCTCGAGCCCCGCCGGGAAGTGCAACCAACCAGCGGCCGGCGCCGCGGTCGTACACTCACGCTCGTGCAGAGCGCTGCAACTCATCATTATGCTTTATCAATGTGATAATGGGACTAACAGGAACGGTCGCCACCTGTTGCAACGCCTTCATGTGTTCTCGTGTAGCGTGTCTCCCGTTGTCTCGCGGTTCGGTGGCTTGTATAACGCTGTGCACACAAGTACGTTGCCATACGGGGTCATATGTCCGCTTCACTGTCACCGGGGGGCGCGCTGGCCACGCCACGCTGGTCATGTGTGGCGTGCTCTGATCGGACTCCGTGACGTCCGGATCGCTTCCCTCGAGCTTGCGTTAGCCGCTGGCACTCGACGCTACCGCCAGCAATCTCAACGGATGTTCGCGCTGTCGCCCCGGCGCGCTGCGCGCAATACGAATCAGAGATCAGACGCGTGTATTTGATGGCGGCTCGGCTCGGGCCCACCATGGCCCGTTCCTGTCGCGCGAGACCGCTGCCACGCGTCTCGCACCGCCTCTGATCGGGCCGCGATCGGACGGCGGGCCGCCACGCGCCGGTCAGCCCCCGGCCGTGTCATGTCACCACACAACCGGCACAAATGTCCGCCGTGTTTGACAGCACTATAAACCGCCCCTAAGGCGTGTCACATTTCGTCCGCGTTAAAACCGACAGCCAATCATTTGACGAGACCAGCATGAACACGCTTGATGTGGCGCGCCTGAGCCAATCACTTGACGAGACCAGCATGGACACGCTCAATGTGGCATCGCGCAAGCGCTGCGGCTTAAAACGAATATACGTAAGCAGATTTTCTACCATCTCATCACCATCATAAACAATTTACCGTAAGTGAGCGCACTTGTTGCGCGAACGTGACAAAACGAGTGGACTACAAGCACATTTGTTAAACACAACACCAAAAGCGACAAAGCCCGCCGCACCACTGCTAGTCGACCGTAAGCCAACGACGAAACCTGTCGTAAGCAGTCTACGCTACCAGCTGTGTGCAGTCGTGAGGCGGTTCTACATCTACATCTAAAATTTGCCGCTTTTCGGTCGTACTTCAAGGGCCGTGCGGTATGGCTCGCGCTTGGCAATACAACCGGGCAAACTGCAGATGGCTGTGGTGCCGGCGCTTGACAAGACAGCTCTCACATACGCGATTACCAGTCTATGTGTAAATGTCATCTCCAGTTCCCCCATCAACCGAACTCTCACTAGGAAGTTCATAGTTTATGTACAGAATCATCGGTTCCCCAAGGGGCTTCGATTTCGTACAACTGAGGAGGCCAAGCTCCCATCGGGCGAGGTCGTTCGCGAACTCTTGGTGCGACCGCAGGCGGCGCCTGGTGAGCAACCGCATTAACTGAAGTCCCTGTTGGTGAGGATGAGCGGCGCCACCAGCGACCAGGTGTACAGGGCCAGGCACATCCACGAGGACGCGATCTTCACCCACATGGAGGCCCGCGTTGTTGGATAGCGTGCGCAGATCTGAGTTGGGGCTGGAAGCGAGCGAGACCGCTGTCAGCGTACGCCTCTGATGCGCAGTACACAGCACACACAACACGAGAGAGGTGATGGTCTGGGCCATGGGACTGTGGTGAGGCGCATGGAAAGCAGACATTAAGCTTTGCTGGTCACACCTTGGATGGTACATAGCCCATACAAGGGCAGTTACCCCACTGAAATCAACACGAACATCTTACTACAGCTTCTGATTTATTTTCTTCATTAGTACTAAGAGTCTCGCAATTAAAAGTCGGAAACATACGGTGAGTAAAGTCGCACCCCTCAACGCACCCCTCAAACCAGAGCAAAAGGAGCAACATGGATACATATTGGAAATGAGGTCACAGCACCCCAATGCGCGACAGAGGCTACTCGATCACTGCACACAGCCCAGGCCCGAAGCCAAGAGGTCAAACCACAGCGTATGCTGAAGCCTACCTTCCCTCCGGTCTGCACAATGGGCCGCATGAAACACAAACAGCCATCATCACCAGAGCGACAGGACATGAGAACATGAGACACGCAGAGAGCTAGTCGGCATGAACTGGGGACGGCAACGTCGAACGGGACTACTCCCGGGAAATCAACCCGGCACCAATCCTCAATCCTGGGATGCCGGACATGTCGAAACGGCATCCCTGCACCTGGCATTGGGACGAAATTAAGTACGCATACTGAACATTCCTGTCACTTGGCAACTGTACCTAAGCCTTGCTTAAAATGGATCAACAAATTAAATCCACCAGCAGTAAGAGGTTGCATGTTTACAAATAGCCTCATATGTACCTTTAGACTATTACCACCACTCTTCATACGTTGAACGTTATAGGACTACGGGATATACAATTAGGAACGAATTGCGAGTCTCCATTTTCATGTTTTTCCTTCATTTGCTAAACTTCGTCAGCTTAGCATTGCACCCAAGCTGCTATAAGTTGACTGTCACCCTCATTGTGCACGGAACTTGCTGCTATTTGTTGTCCTAAAAGCCTATTTTCATAACCGCGCGCAGTGATTTCCTCCGACAAAATCACTCTTTTGAATGTGTTTTTTTGCGTCTATGACATGCCCGTCATACCTCTCGTTCCAACTTGTTACCCATATCCTATCATTGTCTCCTGTGCCCTACTGGGTGCAGGAGTGGAGCCACAGGTTGGCGAAGTTTGCTGCCGGCTGCTGGGACTGCGACTGAAAGACAGCAGGCTGATCCTCAGTCCCAGCATAAAAACGCAATTGGTAATGGCTTGTCGCCGCGCGGTACTCACGAGTGCCAGTTGGTAATGGCTTGTCGCCGCGCGTTACTCACGAGTACCAGTTGGTAATGGCTTGTCGACGCGCGGTACTCACAAGTACCAGTTGGTAATGGCTTGTCGCCGCGCGTTACTCACGAGTACCAGTTGGGAATGGCTTGTGGACACGCGTTACTCACGAGTACCAGTTGGTAATGGCTTGTCGACGCGCGGTACTCACAAGTACCAGTTGGTAATGGCTTGTCGCGCGCGTTACTCACGAGTACCAGTTGGTGATGGTTTGTGGCCGCGCGTTACTCACGAGTACCAGTTGGTGATGGCTTGTCGACGCGCGGTACTCACAAGTACCAGTTGGTAATGGCTTGTCGCCGCGCGTTACTCACGGGTACCAGTTGGTAATGGCTTGTGGACACGCGTTACTCACGAGTACCAATTGGTGATGGCTTGTCGACGCGCGGTACTCACAAGTACCAGTTGGTAACGGCTTGTCGCCGCGCGTTACTCACGAGTACCAGATGGTGATGGCTTGTGGCCGCGCGTTACTCACGAGTACCAGTTGGTGATGGCTTGTCGACGCGCGGGTACTCACAAGTACCAGTTGGTAATGGCTTGTCGCCGCGCGTTACTTACGAGTACCAGTTGGTGAGCGTCATCATGACGTAAAGCGTGGCCAACGCGAACATCAGGTGGAAGAAGGACCAGCTGTAGGCGACGCCCTCGTCCTCGTTATCCCACACTTGTGCCTCTGAGTCCTGCGTGGTGCCGCCTCCTGGAAGCAGCCGACCGTCCAAGGCGCGTCAGGACCCCGAGCTCCCGACCGCGGCCCGCCAGTCGCCGGCACCGATGCAGCCTGGACAGCCTGGTCAGCTGATCACGAACGCACAGAATAGGGCACTGATACTGTCTGGCCTTCACTGAAAGCTTCACGGAAACAGAGGACCGTGCGATAGCTTACGAGAATGGCGATCAATAACAATATCAGAACCGTTGATCTTCAGAGTCAGACGCAACCACTGGCTGACACAACACCTCCACCTCTGCAGAGCACACTGGAGACGGAAGGAATCGCAAGCACACGCCGCTAATCTTTTTTTCGCCGCGGATATAGGCCTTGTTACACAAGTAGCCGGACGGCAGAGATCCCGCACATGATGCCGCCGGGACCACGCACATCGGCTCACGCCACGCCGGGGCTGATACCTCTCGGCGAGTGGCGACAGTGGGCGCACCAAAACGGCGCGCACTGCACGAGTTATCTCTCATGGAAGTACGCCACAGGCACTGGACTGCGACGGTGACCGGGGACGGCCGCTCACGGCACGGGGGCTGCGCTCGGGTGGGGCTCAGTCATGGGACCGCCTTGGCTTGCCCTCCAAATTATTCACCAGACTTCTCTTGTCGGTCTTTCCGGCTAGAAAAATGAGTACAGCTCAAGATGGATATCAACCGAGTTGGGAAAAAACATTACCCAACTGGTCGAATACGTATAGCTTTCACTTGGAAAGTACGCCACAATACAGAAAGACGCTAGTTATGGCATATAACGTTGTGTGGACATTTATTACTGAAGATTTTAAGATTCTCGTGCGATTACAAATTAGTGTGAGTTTACGTGAGCAACATTGCCTATAATGAGTGTGCCTTTGGGTCGCAGCGGCAGCGCTCCTCTAACGCATGACGTATGCCCCGTCACCGACGACAGCGTGACAGCGGCGCATACGCAATAATAAAGCCGTTTTAAAAGCTTTTGCTTTAGCCACTACCAGAGCGCCCAAACTGGGCGACGAGAAGAGGATTCTGGTGACCAAGGACAACAGGCGTCCCACTGAAAGATCAACACATTGTAAGAATCCAGATCAAACACCACGGAGGAGTTCAACCACTGCTACGAACGCAGCCGCGTCGACACCCGAGCGGAACTGGATACGGGCCAGCCAGGACGGGGGCAGGACGCAGGCCTTGGACATCACCGGGTACACCCCGCGTCTGGCACCTCAGGCAGCTCAGCCACGGCAAGATCCCATCCCCAGCACCCAGACGCCAC